TTTTTTTCAAAAATTGACAATTTTTTTTATGATTTTATTTTATAGGCCATCTTACTAACTTAATAAAAATACCAAGTTTTTTTTCCCCATTCACTAGAAAAAAAACTACAAGTGTTTTAGTAAAAGCAGATACCATAACTTTACACAAAAGGTCAAACTATTAAAATGCGTTTTAATCGAAATGTGTTTTTTTTTTGTACATCGAGACTGTGATTGCTCAAAAAGTTTTGAATATAATTTGCTGAAATTTTTTGTGTATGTTCTGTATAACAGTAGAAGTGTTTTGACCTTCAAATTTATCAATCACTGTTTTATTTCAAAATTTCCACTCCCTTAACGTGAATATATAATCGTTGTTTTCTTAAACAATTTTATATAATCACTAAGATAAAGTGCTTTAGTTTTTGTAAAAATTAAAATATCTCTTATCCTGAACGTCAGTTCAAAAAAGAATATCAAAGTAATACATCAAAATTCAAAAATTGAGAATGTGATCATAAACTTTTTGTATAGAGTGGGCTCCGTTTGTATAAGTTTTTGTAAATTTTTACCCATTTTTTCCCATTTTAGTAGTAATAATTTATTTTCCTCTTAATATTTGAGCCTTTTTTTTTCTTAAAATGTACTAAATAAATCTAAAAACCACAAACAAAAAAAAATCTCCATATCTTCATTCTTTTTTTAAAAAAAATGTTGCCGTAAGTAGTCGGATACCTTAAAATGTATTTTACTAACGACTGAAAATTTGAACAAGATATAGGTAGATTGCGAACTAATAGTATGAATTGAAAGAAGGGGAAAAACAGAAAAGCAACTCTGCATTTTAAAATCACCATAAAACATCCGATATTGGATTGATCTAGCCGAAATGTTTGTAAAGCCTTCCAGGTAAAATGTCGCAAATAATACATTCCTAGAAAGATCACATGACACCACAGAACGTACCAACATTGCTCTATATACCCATCACAGCAATTTAAATCCAATATGATACGTACCAGCACCTCATGATTCAATTTTGAAAGCTCCTTTTCCTTGCCCCTAAGAAAAAACCCCGAAGCGAATACTCACACACCAAGCACAATATCATTCACCATATCTCGCATATGAATTTATTTATTCCTTTCCGAGTAAACAAGAACATATGAGCGATATTGGGCAACATCGTACTATCGTCGGAAAACGACAACGAGGGGGAGGATCCAAAATAAAACAGAATTGTCGCTTGTTCACCCCCTCGGCATCCCCTTCCAGAGCGTGGGGCAGGGGGAGAGAGGGTTATATTTCCCTGAGAGCAAACGTAATCTATCTTTATTTGGACATTCGAGTCTCTGAGATGCTTATTGGATGTGAATTCCTCGCACGTACAGAGACTGACGGATGGTGTAGAGAATTGAATTTCTGGAGACATAGGTCTCTCGTTCTATTGATCTCGACTTTCAGGAAACCGAAGCAACTCCACTGACCGTTGGTCAATCAGGGAATTATTTGGCTGCTTATTAGAGAGGCGTTCCGTTGGGGAAGGTCACCTCGATGAGATCGGGATTCTTTCCTGTCTGTGCGATCGCTCGGTCTCTAATGATTTCAAAGCTCCAGACAGAAGAGAGATCGTGGGGATTGTGTCTCGGACTGTAGTTGGCTTTTCTGTAGAGTCTATATCAGCTTGGAATATAACTGCTGAAGCTAAGGATTATAAATTGTTTAAAAATGCAGGTGTAATGAATCATAAATGTCTATGTTTAGACTTTGAAGTTATGTATAATTAATACTTTCTATCAAGTTTTAGGGGCAAATGCGAAAGTTAATTATTTGATATGCATCGGAATTAAAATCAATTAAATTAATTTATATACGGAACGAAGTCCATCCTCTGACATTGGAAAATAATGTTCTTTAAGTAATGTAAAATTCGACGTAGAACGCGCACTTTTAACATAAAAAATAAAATCAAAATTTACATGGGTGCGCGTAATACAAAGAGTATAAAAATAAGAGCTTTAAAAATAATAATAATAAAAGATAAGCTTCTACACACATTAATAAAATAAAGGTAAATTAAACTTCTACATAGATTGAAATACTATTCATTTAAAAGAAATAAAATTCCTTATGAACTTAAGGATTGTAGTTCTAGAAATATACGGGGTTTTTCTAAGGCTTGGAATAACACTTCGAATGAATGACTTCAAACCATAAAGAGTATTCCATACGTACATATCAGGTTTCTTCTAAAAAACGGGGTGCGTTACATGGTGAATATGCCTAAAAATTAAAAAAAATTGCTGCTTGAAAGTATAGGTGCGCGTTATACGCAGGATTTTATAATGTACATTCCTGTTTAAATATATACATCCCTATTTACAATCCATATTCGGAACAATTTAAATAGCAATTTATGGAATATGCATTACCCTTCACCTTATGATATGTTTAAGACAGTGCTTCTCAAACTTTCAATATTCGCGACCCATTATTCAATAATTATTTTCATCGCCCCCCCCACCATACAATAACATGATTTATGTGTGTGTGAATTGAATAATACTATGCTTTGACACAAAAGCTACAATACGGCTTTAACGCATATAAGTGTCTTTTCCAGCGAAAACATTAATTTCCTGGGCGTATATATACGTCTTTCCGAAGTACGATCTTTTCTGTGCACTGCTATCCATAAAATTATTCCGAAGATTTTGGAATGCAATAACAGGACCATGACAATGCTTGCAAAGGATTTTCTTAATTCAGAGGATTAGCTTATTTATTCCTTTTCACCTCCCCTTCCTCTCCCCAAAAGTCATCGAAATACGCACGTCTACGTGGAAAATGGTGGCCTTGGGAAGCAAATCGTATAATTTTTAATCGCCAATTAAGGGATTAGCTATAAACCGTGCAAATTATCAAGATAAGTGTTAATACGAGCACATGGGGTCACTGATAATTACCAAACTGGTTCTTAACTTAGTATTGTTAAATTAGTTATAAAATACATTGTATAGTACCGATACGTTTATAAGTGTATTACATCAGTGTAAAAGCGTATTTTGCATTTTATTATATTAGAAAGTATTGTTTATCTTAAGTCAATTAATAATTTGTTAAACAGTCTTCCGTTTTCAACTTTTCAACAGCCTCGCGCTCCCCTCATAGAGTTATCACGCCCCCCCCCCCCAAAGGTTTATAAAAACTGGCTTAAGAAACTTTAAATCAACTAAATATATATCTATATGTGAAGAATGGTATTTCGTGGTGTACTTGATGAATTTTTCATGAAGATAGTAAGCAATGTAATTTCTACTGAAAGTAGTGTATGAACAGGGACGTCTTAAGACTTCTTGAGACTTCTTCTTTAAGACTTACACAAAAGTAGGCCCTGGGCCCCAACACAAATGTAAGCCTTACCTATGACGCATAAAAGTAGAGAGTACATAGCAAACATTGCCGAATACTCGTACAAATCCGAAACAAATATATATGTATGATTTACAATCACACAAATCGGACCGACCGACGTCCGCCTTTTGACTGAATAAGTAATGATGGTGTATGATGGTAGACCTAGGCCTATACATGGACGAAGGTCATCACAAATAGCCAGTTGACATATTGTCCGAAATTCCTAGTTTTTCGGAGAATACAACCAAAAATAACATTTTATTGTTGAAATTATTCGAAACATGATATTATTAAAGCTGAGTCGAGAACGAGACGAGGGCCCCATGATGGCCGAGGCCCTGGGCCCGGGCCTATTTGGCCCATGCCTTAAGACACCCCTGTATAGAAACGTGATAAGATGCTTTTAATTCATACAGGCAAAACATTAAAAAAATTCGTAAATAAAATTATTTGTTCGGGATAAGATTTGCTTCATTTGTTATATAAGTTTTGTTCAAAAGATTAGAGATTTGAATATATTGATAACGGTTAAAGATTTACAAGCACTATGGGTTCAATCTTACTTCTATAGGTAAGGATAAACAATTTAAATTAAAAGAATTTAGCACTCATTGATTAAAAATTTTCTTTTATAAATTCTCAAACAGTATATTTGCTACATCGATTTCACATAGGATTAAATTATAAATAATTACAAACATGTATATTGTGCCAATGTATTTTTTGTAAATATATACAAATACATTTTTTTGTATTTGTAAATATTTGTATTCAAATTGTTAAGTAAATATTTGTGTTATTCACTTTAAAAGATATATTTAAACGTATATAATAATATATAAAGCAATTTGCTTTATGCTGATTTTTATGTATTTTGTCCGATTTAATTTAGCTTAAGTATCATAAATATTTATTAAAAAAATTGGAAATGAATTGAAAAAGTAATATGTAAAGATTTCTGCATATAGTTAAATAAGTAATTTCCTGAAATAAAAAAAAACCAACACACAACTACAGATTTAATTAAATTATTAAGACCAAAGAGAAATTTTCTTTTCACAGTACACATTTACTTTCATAGTGTAGAAAAGAATATGTGTTTGCAAAATGAAAGCAAATTTATTCATCCATTATTGATGCTACTTGAAATTTTTTTGTAAATTCTAAGAGATAATTTAGCCTTGGAATTAGTTTCAATCACGAATATAAAATCCAACAGAAAATAATTAAAATAATATTTTAAAGAGATTTATAAATATACAATAGAAATATATATTTACGTTACGAATTATTAAAATCAAATTAAATTAGCTCTTTTTTCAATTCTTACAATTAGTTCACTTACATATATATATATATATATATATATATATATATATATATATATATATCTGGTTCAAATTTTCTATCGTTAATAAAACACTTTATATTCATCCATTGAAGTTCAAATACAATTTTCATAACTTGTAGTGGATGACACTGGACGTAAATACATATTTTTTTATCAAATATTTATACATTAATTCTATTTAATTAATGAATAAAAAGTAACAAGCAAAAATAATAGTCCAACATCATATATAGAAAGGAAAATCGTTCATTGTGTCCCTATAGCGCAGTAGATAGCGCGTTGGACTTCTAATCCAAAGGTCGTGGGTTCGAATCCCCCCTGGGATCCCCTAATTTCCGAGAATATGATTTTTTTTAACTAGATTATTTTATTAGAAAAATTAAATTTAATTAATGAATAAATAGTAACAAGCAAGAAAAATAGTCCATACATATAATTGTATGGACATACATATGATACATGTATATACATATGATTCTGTCATTTGTATATTAATTATAATTATTTAATAAAAAGTAACTAAAATAAAAATTTTCTTTGTTGACCTAAGTAGGAATTGACTGAATTTTTTTATATTACTTGTTTTCTAACTACATGGAATATTTCCACTTTAAACATAAAATAATATTTCTCTTTATTTTTAAAATTTAATTAAATTTTATAAAAATGGTTATTTTCAGATTCTTTTTTTTTTTTCATCACTCTCTAATTCGGATCACCATTATTTTAAAAATAATTTCTCAGATATTTTCGTGCTTTAACTTCACAAAATTTGCTGCAAGAAAAGTATTTATCGAGGCAAGAAAGAAATGTGTTATGTGCCTTCTTCATGAAGAAATAATTAATAGATAAAGCTTTCTCTTTATCTTATTCAAGTACAAAAAGATATTGCTTGCTTTCAAAACGAAAGGAGGAATACAAATTATATAAATAATGAATTAAAAAAAAATCTCTCCCTTAAAACACATTTCTGAAATTAAATTGTTCAACATATTCTTATTTTTTTAGTAATTTAAATGTTGTATATCCTAAATAATGTACTTTTCAATTTCTTTAGTTATACAAGTACTACTATTATAAACGTTGTAACATAATGTCAAATCAAAACACAAGTGCAGCAATTTTGTAAAGTTTTCTTAAATCTCCTCTGAAAACAGCATTCTTTTATTTACTTATTTATTATTCAAGTAGACCAAAGTCATATTGTTTGGATAGAGAATTGTATTTTTATATTATTCAAATAGTATTTTCACTATTATTAAATTGTATTTTTACTATCAATATGGTTTTTGTATGTACTTTCATTTATATGCTATACTTAATTTCATTTCCTTTTTATTTAAAATTTCTATTTTGTATATATTTTCAGTATAATAATTAGTTCTATTATCGTGCCTCTTGCCAACGCCATCGACTGCATTCATCTCTTGCGCGATGACAACATGTTGTTTGCTTTGAGTTGTTTGTGTAATACAGCGTTTCTCAAACTGTGGGGCGCGCCCCCCTTTGGGGGCGTGATAACTTTCCCAGGGGGGCGCGAGCAAATTGAAAAGTCACAAACAAAAGGTCATTTAAAAAATTATTAATTTACTGAAAGTAAACAAACAAAATTCTGTCTGATATAATAAAATATAAAATAAACATCTACACTGATATAATATACTTACAAATGTATCAGTACTGTGCAATATATGTATTTTATTATTAATTTAACAATACTAAGTTAAGAACAAGTTTGATAATTATCAGTGACCCCATGGGCTTGTATTATAACTAATCTTGATAATTTTGTACGGTTTTTAAATAATTCCTTAACTGCCAATAAAAAGTTATGCGATTCGTTTCCCAAAGCCACCGTTTTCTACGTAGACGAGCGTATTTTGATGTTTTTGAGGAGGTAGAGAAATGGAAAAAAATAAACAAATATCCTCTGAAATAAGTAAATCCTTCTCAAACACTGTCAAGGTCCTTTTATTACGTTCCAAAGTCTTTGAAATAATTTTATTGATAGCACTGCACAGAAAAGATCGTGCTTAGGAAAGTCGTATATATACGTCCAGAAAATTAATCTTTGGCTGAGCGAGATTTTATATACGTTGGTGGTAAAAAGGGTTTAAAAAGTCGTATTGTAGCTTTAGTGTCAAATATAGTATTATTGAATCAATACATTGTTTTTATGGAGGGGCGCGATGAAAATGATGATTGAATATGGATCACGTATATTGAAAGTTTGAAACACTGGTGAAATATAATCTGTGTAAAATATCATTTCCCTGTATTTCCCTTTCCCCCGGGTGGGTTATCCCCACAAAGTTTTGGAAAATGCTTAAATCTTGAATACGGTAGAACGTCGTTTTTTTCCGAACGTTTATTATCCGGAGTGTCAAATATCTGGACCATTTTTTTTTGTCAACTATATGTACCGTATATGAATACGTTTCGAACAGTTGTTCAACATTTGTTTAAAAAAACAAAAAGTGACCGGAAAACCAAGGACAGGGATTTTGGGAGTTTCGATTTAGAAGGGAAAAGTTTTCCCAAAGCGGCCACAGGGGGGAGATTACCGACTTTGCCCAATCGACCCGGGATTTAAAGAATGCGATGAAAAGATGTGGCCAGATGGCATCGATAGAAGACTTTGGTTTCAAATCTAAATGTAAAGTTGTGACCCCCTGCAAAAGAATTCGACCCCTTTGACAACAAACGGGTGAAGACGGGACAACAAAACAATGAATTGCAAGGGTCCATCAAATGTTGACGCATTTTTGGTTAGAGACGTATGCAGTGGTACGTAAAACAATCAAGTGCTTCCCTTTTAATTACTGCTGCTCCAAAGAACCAGAGACCTTGGTGAAAAGAAGGGTACAGTGGTACAGTGAAAAATAAGTGATTATTTTCCCAATAAAGGTAAAAAATTTCCCTATTTTGCTTTTTCTTCAAGCACGTTTCCCGCCTATTATGATTTTCAATGTTTGTATAGTGTCCGGTTCCATATACTGCATGGATCGCATTCGATTTTCGGTTATCCGAACAATCGCGTATCCGAACGGTGTCCAGTCCCAATTGATTCCAATAAACGACGTTCTACTTTACGCAATATTAAAGTTGTTGTGTTTTAAATGCAAGAGTTATAATTTAGTCCCGTGTGGCGTATACACCTAGTAAGGATTAAAAGCCCGCCGAAAAGACCAATGCGACTTTTGGTCAAAATAAAACTAAAACAAATAAGAAAAACTACATACACATATAAACAAAACAAATAAAGCTTATATACGTACACAGATGTCAGCAGTTATATTTGCGGCTGACATTTACAGATTTTGATGTACCAAAAAGCGTTAAGAACAGCAGTTGAGATGAAAACTATCCTTTTGATTCATTTTTAAACCAAACCGTTTCTTTATCAGCCTATTTCTTCGTTTTAAAATATCCAAACCACGCGCGCGTCTTGTAAAGATTAAGGGGAGGGATTAGTGAGGGAAAATATAAAGGGGGTTTAAGATAAAAGGCGGGGCGTTAAATTCAGCGTTTCCTAATATTTAAATTTCCAAATCAAGACTTGTAATTTGGCAAAACGTTCAAATGACAACGCCTTTACCGGGCATGACAAGTGATTAAGTGTTTGATAAATTGCATAATAGAGTAACGTGGAACCACAATTCAATTTTGGGGCTTAGTTGGTGTTAACGTCCAGTAGCTCTAATGTTCTTCAAAACGTGTCAAATTTTTAATTCAATGGGTTTCTGCATCCGGTATTTTACTTGAGGTAGCCATAGATCAAATTTTCAACCTTAAGGAATAACTTTTGAGAAAGGAGTTAATAAGTTATATATGTATATCTTTTTAACGTATTCGACTACGTTCGAAACCGGGATATTTTTTTTTACATTTAGTATATCTTACAGTACAATATACGTATAAAATGTTTTAAGAGTATTATTACAATACAAAAATATATTTAAATGCAATATTTTGGAAAAAAATGAGCATAAAATTGTTTATTTTCAAAACATTCTCCTTTTATTAAAAAAAATGCTTCTATAATAGTAAGATTTTGCTTATATATAGCTAAAACTTCTCCATAGAACCAGAACTAGGATTTTTTTTAAAATCCACATTATTTTCAGTGTGATATTACCATCTGAAAAAATTATAGGCTTTTTGTTAAACTTTTTTCATTCTGATAAAATATGGATAAATCTATTACCAAATTATATACTTCTTAAAATCCTTGTTCAAGCTCTGTACAGAGCTATGTATAAGCAAAAAATTAATATTCTAGAAGCATTTTTTCATAAAAATAGAATGTTATGAAAATAGATACTTCTATGTATGTTTCTAACATACGTATTATACATCCGAACATATAGTGATAAATTATTGCAAAATGCCCTTTATTGATAGAGAATGAAAAAAATCCATCTGAAATTTAAACCAAGTCCATTTGGTAGAATTCCGTAAAGATATATTGAAAAAAAATTCTAAAATGTCAGCGTTTTATTTCTATTATCGAATAAAATAACAATGAACAGTGAATTTCTAGAAATTCGGATAGATAAGTTTAAATTCAAATATATATTGCCATTCAACCATTTCAAAATTTCGTATAATTATTAAAATTGTTTTATTAAATACCTATTTATTAAAAAAGATTTAAAATTCATGCTTATTACTGATTATAATCTTGAATAAATATTTTTTTAAAAAATTCAATAAACTGGAATGTATTGAACTACCTGTTTCTGATATAGTTTTAAAAATTAAATGGCTGTTATTTTTAATTATCTTATTTTTGTGTTAATCTCTAGAAAACAGAATTATACTTTCTTAAAGTCTGTTTTGCAAATATTTTGCGTTCTCTTTTTCATTAAAATAATTCCTTTAGCATATTGAAGTTTTGTATTTACATTTCGGCACTTACTTCTTTACAAGTATGTGATATTTTACAAAGGGTTTGGCCTTTCCTAACATTGAATTTAAAGTATGTTCCAATGGTTTTAGTCCAGTCAATTTTACACGATTTTGCTATAGAAAAGTAGCAAGGAAACTACCCATTTTTTTCTTTAAAATACTTTTACAGGAAAGAAATGCTTCAATAGAAAATAACTCTCGAGTCGTTGCCCAGGAGAAAAACAACTCAAAAAAACGCTTCAACCAAGTGAAAGTCGATTTCGTCTTCAAGTAAAACCATTTTATTTTTATTCTTGCACATCAAGATCAGGATGGCTTTCTTTAGCCTCTGCTCTGATTTTGAATGTTTTATTTATACAAATGCAGTCGATAGAAGCAAATATTTTTCACTTCACTTCAATGCTGTTTTCAAAAA